ATTGCCCAGTCTTCCAAAAGAGCAAGATATGCATCCAAGTAAAGCTTGGTTGACTTTGGCAGGGGAGCAAAGATTTAAATTTTAGCAGCTAAGTGGTTGGATTGCAACCACTAAACCACAATAAGCAAAAATGTTTCAAATGTTTCCCAACAACAACCATGAAACACCCGAGTGAGTCAGCCGAGGCAAAGGCCACAGCAGCTGCAAGTCTTACAGATCTCCTCCTGGAAGCAGCTGCTCTTCACAGTCGTCACCTGCCAAAAAAGCACTCTAAGTCCTCCAGAGAGGATAGAATCAGAGTGCCAACTTTTTTCTGTAGTTTATTTTAGTAGGGGAACCCTCCCCCCAAAAAATGGTGAAGGGGCAATACTGGGGGACCTAGACAAACAAGCCACTGGGGTATCCTCTTGCCCACAAGGCATGGGTGCTTGCCCGGGGGTCACAACCGAAGCACGCGAAAAAAAAACGATGGAAGCTATGGAGACATGGGAATCCCCTACACTTACGATATGAATGATTCTAGAATCCCGCATTTTCCCCCGTGATGGGTAAGCTCGTGAACGAATTCACCTGGTCTGGGCACAGGAGTCCGAAAAGAAGGAGCACCTCTCTAGAAATTGAAGGTGTCGCTTGAGGGAGAAGACACATCCCAAACAAGCATACATATGTTGCACACAGCGATATTCAGCCTTCCCATTCACCAATGGTTCAACTTGCAAGGCACAGGCAGGGGCATGATGAGCAGCGTACTTGAAAATGGGGCCGCTTCAGAATGGTGCATACCTGAAGCCGTTTGTGTGTGCTTGTTCGGTCTTTTGGAGAAACACATGTTCGGCATTTTGCAGATTTGGACCCTTTGGGGAGTTTCGTGGGTAGAGGCATTTTGGACGGCCAAACAAAGGCCTAAAAACACCGGACCTGAGCGAGGTGTGGCCTTTCCGCACAAACAAAAACATCTGTTGCAGCACAACAACCCTTTGTCCAAACAACGATCACAATCTAGTGCTTTTTGTTCGAAGGGTTTTTGCTCGCCTACATGGGCTTGGCAGGTATATTGCTGTTTCCTTTTAAAGAAGAAAGCTCCAAAAGGGTCGCTGCTTTTGAAACTCCCTGTTAATGATATGTATCTATTTTTTTGTTTTCGACACTTCCCTGTTATTGACACCTCCCTGGGAGATGGAATGTATGTGGGAAGCCTTTTTTGGAGATCGTTGTTTCAATGGAAGCTGTGATTTCCTCCTTTGTTTTTTGAATCCCAATAATGGATCTACCATCATTCCACGCTTTTGATTGGACGCTGTTTTGTGGGGATCTCCTGTCATCCAAGTGGCACACTGCAAGTCGGCGTCGAACGGCACGTTAGAAATGATGATGAAGACAATGATCAGCGTGATCATCCTGGTTTGATGTATATGCTTCGCCTTCATTGCGTTGAGGCTCAAAGGAGAACCAACAGTGACGTGGGTGTTTGACAGTGGTTGCTCTCACGAACTAGAGGACAGCGAGATGTTTGACACTGCTCTAGACCCCGAAAGGTACGGTGAGAACCCAAAACTTGAGATAGGACTTTCGAGTGCTAGGTCCTCCAGAGAGCTTGGAATATAATGGTAAGGGTACCGCTTCTTTTTTGTTTGTTTGTCTATATTAGGGGAACCCTCCCCCAAAAAGGGGTAAAAGGGCACCACTGGGGGACCTAGAGTGAAAACCCCAATCCACCTGAGATTAAAACAGGCCCCTGAGGATTTGGAGTGCGGTGAGAATCATGAAATGCCAAACCAATCAGGGGTACCCGAGAAACTGGGCGTGATTGGAGACCTCCAAATTCGCTTAACTTCCAATCTCAAGTCCCTTGGAAAAATGACGAGATGTGTAGTCGTGATAGACTCCCTTTCAAACCAACAGTCTGCTTTTTGAACTTAATTCCTGTGGATGGACGACATCCTGCACCTAAGAACCCTGGTTTCTGATGATTCCCCCGTAAATACCACCCAGCGTTGTGGTTTCCTCGTGGTTTCCAAAATCGAAGCGAAGGAAAACAAACAAACAAACAACGTTTTTGGGTGTCTCTTCAAACCAACAGTGTGAGTTTTGTAACCACATATTCTTAAGGAAACCAAAGCTAAGGGAGAACAAATGTTTTCTTCCGCTAGTGTGCTTTGTTTAACCGCATTATTTTGTGCAAACCGAAGCTAAGAGGAAAAAAAGACAACAAGACTTCCAGTTCTGATAGATTCCCTTTCACACCATATTCTTTTACGCCAATCCCAGTAGTGATAGATTATTAAGCAAATCTAATTATTTTTTTGCGCCAACCGAAGCCAAGAAAAACCCGAACAAACAACGATGTTTTCTTAGAACAAGACAACCCCCCCCCCCCAAAAAAAAAAAAAAACACGCACCACCTCAGAAACTTGTGGGTTTCTGATGATTCCCCTGGTAAAACAACCAAGGTTTTCCGTGGTTTGCCCGCCGTTCTCTTTCCGCGAGTGTGCTTTGTTCTTTACCCACACTCTTCTACGCAAACCGACTTCGAAGCTAAGAACCTCCCCAAAACAAAACAACAACAACAAAAACAAAAAACAAAAAACACACACACACACAGACACACACACACACACACACAAAAAAAAAATAAGAAAACCAACACACACACACACAAATAACAACAACCAAACCAAACACACAGATTTCTTTCTGGTCTCGTGCCGAGGGGCGTCATCAGTGGCCCGCGCTTGGAGGGGCTCAGTGCCTCGGCGATCTTCTCCACCACCGAGGCGGCGGTGGGCATGGAGTAGCGCCAGTCCCGGCCCGTCTTGGGGTAGGGCAGCGAAGGGAAGCCTGGGCTCGCTGTTTTTGTTTTTGGGGTGGTGGGGTGGTGGTTGGGTGGATTTGGGTGGTGGGGTGGGTTTGGGGTGGGTTTGGGTGGATTTGGGTGGATTTGGGTGGTGGGGTGGTTTGGGGTGGGTTTGGGTGGATTTGGGTGGATTTGTGGTTTGGGATGGGTTTGGGTGGGTTTGGGTGGATTTGGGTGGATTTGTGGCTTGGGATGGGTTTGGGTGGGTTTGGGTGGATTTGGGTGGATTTTTGGGTGGGTTTGGGTGGGTTTGGGTTGGTTTGGGCGGATTTGGGTGGATTTGGGTGGATTTGTGGTTGAAGCTTGGATTAGGGTTGGTTTAGACGGCTTTATGGTTGGTTCAGGGTTGGTTTTGGTGGGTTGAGATAGGTTTATGGTAGATTTAAGGTGGTTTAAGCTGGGATTCGGATTGGTTTCGGGCAAGGATTCGAACGGATCCGCTTTAGAAGCATCCCAACTGCGTCCCGACCTGGGCTTGGCGGTAGGCATCCGCGAGTTGCTCAAAATAGGTGGGGATTCCTCTTCCCCAGAGAGAGAGAGAGAGAGAGAGAGAGAGAGAGAGAGAGAGAGAGAGAGAGAGAGAGAGAGAGAGAGCTAGAGAGAGAGAGGGGTCCGAAATCCATTTTGCGAAACATCCGCTTCAAAAATTAAATCCCACTTGGGTCCTTTAAACCTTTCAGGCTGGTCCCTAAAACTTGGTTGAGGCCCCCTGGGCAACAATGGGAAGCCTGCCTCAGGGTTGGCTCGCAGCAGGCTTGATGAGATGAGCACACCACGCTGGTTCGAACATAAACAACGCGTGCATATCAAACAAAACAACAAGCACAATCAAGGCTCCGACGACTTAAGCATGGTGACAAGTGGCAACGCCTCCACATTTTCCTCATGAAGTTAAACTGTGCCAATTGAAGTGGTTGCACTTTTAGGAGTTCTATGGGGTGGGCGACCCCTTTAGACCGGCATTTAGAGGAACATTTTGAGGGCGTCGCTTTGATGAACCCAATATGCACATGGTGACCGTGAGAGGCAAACACAGAAAAGAAATCTTCCACTTGACCCAGGGTCAAGTAGTAGTACAGGTGACCACCCCACTTGTAGGAAAAGACATTGAACAATGCAACAATGAGTGCAAGACAGGCTCGGTTGGGCTCGTTCCGCGCGATGCCCACTTTGTTGTTGTCGGTGGATGCTTCGGTCTGCGCAATCACTTGGAGGAGGATCTTCCTGGGCGAAAGAGAAACTTGAACTGCCGGAAAGATTGCTATGATACGGTATGGTCTGTTACAAGGTAGGGCCTCAAAGAAATCCCCAAGTAAGCGGTCTTCATGGGTGAGCTCCTTTTACCACTTCGATGACCAATCTGCCCACAGCAGCCGCAGGTTTGGGCTGGGACCCGAGCCAAATGAGTCAGAATCTAAACCGAATACTAAACCGATCCACCCAAAACCCATGCATATCCGCGCCTACTTATGGTTGAGACCGTCCCCTAACCTTTACAGCTCCGGGTTTTGATTGTGACTCAAATCGCACCATTTCGGAGGATTCTTACAAGCCAGGTGCAGTGTTTTCTGAGACCCGCCCTTGACACCACCTACAACAAGAAGAGGAACACCCAAATGAGGATATGCCAAAATAGGGGACCTCCAAATTTGTTTTCTCCTGTTGGCTTCCCTTTACACCAACCTGAAAGAGCGCCCCAGGAAAAGGACAAACCCCTCAAACCAGGCTCAGCCTTTTTGCAAAGCTCGCAAATATAAACATATCTATCCCCTTTGGTTGCCCCTTGGACATGAAGAATCATGGGCCATTTAGCACGTTTCACCGGCTTCTGGAAGGGGCAAGTGGTCTCAAGGTCAGCTGGGATACAAGTCTTTCTTAAGAATTACTCCCCTGCAAGTTGCCACGCGGAACCTAAAGTGGGAAGTCCCCTAAATCCGGGGTTCCCGTACAACATGGCGGTTGTGCTTCGGTGTTCCATGTCCTTCTGCAATCCGATTTTGTCGCCCAAGGGGCATGTAGGCGGCCGGTGGAATGGCCTGCTCCTCCTCCTCCATGAACGCCGCATCACCGCCCTCTTCACCTCCACCTGATGGGATCATATGGCTGTGGGTCAAAACAGGGTACCCAAAATGGAACCTTGGTAAATGGAACCAAGGACTAAAACCAGTGGTCTGGTGGTGACTAATTTTGACCCACACCCATATGAGCGACGAAAAAAAACTCTTGCGTCCAGCCAAGGACATGTCAATAAAGGTGTCGGTGTTGAGTGTCGACGCTATCGTTCCTGGAGGTTCTCGTGCAGTTGAATATCGCAACTTTGTAGTCAAGTGTCGCGCGAAGCACACTTCCGCAGCTCCAGCTCGAAAGCCGCAACTTTGAATTTCAGGTGTAGTACGCGAATTACGCTTCCGCAGCTCCAGCTCGAAAACTGCAACACTAAAACATGTAGTTGTAGTCGCGAAGACATTTCCGCAGCTCCAGCTCGAAAATCGAGACTTTGTAGTACACACTTACGCAGCTCCAGCTTGAACATCGCAATTTTGCAGGCATGGCTTGTTTTGTCGACCCTAGCGTTCCTGAAGGTTTTTCGGAGGCTTAAGTAAGCGCCGCTATCAAGGTCCAATGTCCCGGCAAATCATGCCTCTGACTATGCAGGTTTAGAGAGCGGCGCTCATACGGGTAACGGGTGCGAACTGGAAAATTGGGTTCCCCTGATGGACAAATGTAGCATTTGTTGTTCCACAACCATTGGGAGGGAACAACCCACTCGTTAGAATTCACAACTATACTGGGCTTTGGAGGCCCCTTCATTTCCACATAATAGAATCGAGGTCAAAAAGCCGGTTTCGGCGGGAAGACCAGGGTCGCCACTTTGAGGGGCTTTCAAGTCTTTCGGGGCGCGAACCCCCATTGAGGGAGGAATTCTGAGGATGTCTCTTGAATGGACCAAGCCACAGGCACCTTTTTGGTCAGCTTTGCTGAACATCCCTAGATTCCACTGGTTCAGTGTCCTTTCAATCATTGACCAGTGGCACCGATTTGTCCAAAACGGACAAATCAGATATAGTTGAATCCAACATGTCTCATCTTCATTGAACTCCAAATCTCCATTTGGGTAACTCAAACATTCCGCGGCCCAGTTGAAGTTCCATTCAAAAGCGCTGTAGCCTCCCTGCCACATGGAAGCATTGGATTCCAAGGCCCTTACCAGGCGCTCCATAGCCTCCCTGGTTTGGTAACCGAGGTCTTTACCACCCCCAGCATTTTTAGAAAAAAAAGAAAAAACACGTGCCACCTGCCAAGATTGTGAGTGACTCTATTTGCCTGCATGGGTTGTGTCAAACCACGGCGTTCCTTCCCTTTGGCTTCCCTGAGGGCTTGACCAGGTTTGGCCAAGGGCCTTCACACCCTTTCATCGGTATTCCGGATGCGCGCCCCCCTAATTTTGCGGGCTCCCCGCAAGAAATGCCTTTCACAAGTTGAGAAGGCCCTGTGAGCGTGCGGAAACCACGTGCCCAAAAATGAGGTACCTCTCAGTAAATTTCGACACAGTGCATTGCCAGGGCCATCGTGCCTTTCAGTTTGGCCAGTTTATTTTGTTTTGTTTTGAGAAGGCTTACTGTCTGTATCTATTCTATGGCAGATGCAAACGACGGTTTAACGGGTAGACAAAGCTTTTTTGTTGGGAGCATCGCCACACACCCAACAAATAGTCTCAATGACATTCAAGCACGGCCACATCCGGGTCCATTCGGCGCGTGGCCTTCATCCGGTTCTTCTTCTTCGTGCTCTTCGTCCTCCTCAGCTGTGCCATAGGAACGAAACCCGAACCACAAACAGCGTGACTTCCCTCTGCTTCCGGCCTCTAAGGTGGCGCCCCGGTGACCCTTGGGGCATTCTGAGTTCGGAGTGCTGGATCTTCGGTTTTGGAGACTCGTCGGTATGGAAATGTGACTCTGATTCAGGTCTCGGATTGAAGGGGAAATTTTGAAGCCTAGTATTTCTGGGGTGCACTTCCGATTTTCGGGCGAACCTGCATGGTGGGAACATGGTGGGAACTTCTCAAAAGCTCAAACTGGGTTGGTGTTCCACCGCTGCCAAACATGCCGGTGAAGGAATAGTCCAATAGTTTACAGGTTACTTTTGGATGAAGCAATCGAAGCAAAAGGGGTTTCTGACCAGTCTAAGATGGCCCACTGGCAAAACGCTGTGACACTTAAGAGGTCCAAAAGTGTCCAATCCCCAGAGATACAGCTGAGTCATGTTCAGCCCTTGTTCGACAAGTGTCATCTGCCTCTTGAGCGACACCTCCTTTGCCCTTGATCTCCTTCTTCATCTCGGCATAAAGATGGGCATTGGACAAAGGCATGTCCGCCTCCATCTCCAACATCATTCGGTCCTGAGCGCTCCGAATAACCCGAAAATCTGGACCGGATCCCGTCCCTGAGCTCAAGGATTCTCGTAATCTAGTTTTTACTTCCAAAGACGTCGGCACGTTCCCATGCGAAACTGCTCCAGACCATCTCGGCCAACCCCCCCCCCCCCGGAACCCGAGTCCCGAAACCCTGATCCTATTTCCTCTGCCTGGCCGTTTGGGGGTCCGCCTCGTCAAGCGTTTTTTGGGTGAGCGGAAACTTCCAAGATCAAAGCCGCCTTTCACTTTTAAGGGGCGGATTATCTAAGCGCTTCCCAGGTCTTGGATCCAGGAATGCCTGTTTTTGAAGTGGTCCCCAACCATCGGTGTTGTGAAAGGGTGGTTTATCTGAGATCTGGGAAGTCTTGGCAATACTACGTTTAGCATCAGCAATACTAAATTTAGACTTGGCAATAATAAATTGAATACTGGGAATCTGAGAGTAAGTCTTGGCAATACGACATGTAGAATCGGCAATACTCAATTAAGTACTGGCAAGTCCAAGTCCAACCCAGACCAGCCCTTGTCCCACTAAAGAGGCCCCAAATCACTGGTAACACACTGTCCCTGGGGAGGAAGCATATCAAAGCAGGCCCAACATTACTCAATCGTGGATAAATAAGGAGTGCATGTTCTTTCCCGGAATCCCGTCTGCTACCAACCCTATAATAATAAGCGGGTTGCCTAAAGACATTGGTTCATGTTTGGATTCAGAGAATAATCTATCATCACCCATTCCAAAATAGCCCATGGGTAGGAACTCAGCAATCCCTCCCACTTTGGTTGCCCAATTTGAGCAAATTACATGCAACAGTTCACCAACCGAAAATATGAGAGACCTCCCAAGAAAGGTGACGTTGCAACCCTGTTGGGTGACGTCGCTTGCCCAACCCCACGCCAATCCGGTCCTTGGGAGGGTCTCGAGGTTCGGCTTCCATGTAACACTTGCCGGGCCCAAGGGTGACAGCTTTAAGCGGGATTTTTCCTGGGGACACCCTTAAATTCGAGAACGGGCCCCTCAACACGAACTTCCTACTTGAAGGGACCCAGCATCTTTCCGGGTGGTTCCCGAACTCAACATGAAACATGCAACCACGTGAAGGTCGTTTTGCAAACTTATTTTCCGGATCTTTCCCGGACTTGCTAACTGACGCCATCCAAGAGTTCACAACTATCTAAAACAACCTTTCATAGATATCCCAGATGCTTCCCACTCAATACCACAACGTTCCTCTCTATAATATTTTGGCGGTCTCCAAGACCGTTCTTTACGTAGAAGACAACCAACACACAATTGCATTCCCCCCCATCTTTCAACTAAACAAGCAACCTCCCCCCAACAACCTTTTCTAGGTCCTCCAGTAGAGAGGTTAGAATAAGGGCACCCTTTCTTCTGCAGTCCATTGTAGGGGAACCCTCCCAACCAAAAGTTGGCAAAAAAGGGCACCAATTGCTGGGACCTAGTTCTTGACACATCTTTTTGAAGTTGACCGCAGTCCTCCGAGACTTTCTTCACGTAGCTCTTGAGCTCCACCAGGCTTTCACAGAGCATCACCGGCCTTGAGAGCGCGAAGTACTCCCAGACGCTGAGGTGCAGGAAGCAGTCGATGGGCACCCCTTTGGTGACTTGGATCCGAGAGAACCTCAGGATTGTCCATTTCTGTCATGGGAATCCCAGAAGCAGAACCCCTGCTGGATTTTGAGAGAGGGGGGAATGCCCCCTTTGAATGGGAATCCTTCGGTCCTTCACTTTTGTGGGTGACTCCCCCCCCAAACAAAATAGGATTTGTATTCATCAGGGGCTTTGTGGAACCCAACAACTACTGGTTGGTTCTCATTGCCATTCAACCAATGGTACCCCTTGAAAACAAGACATCCCGATTTGGGCTTGCAAGCGGCGCCCCGACAATAGTGGGCGGTTGTCAAAAAATGGCCAGCTCCTCACTGGACCCTGGGAACCGCCTTACGGAATTGAAGCACGCGCTCCAAACCCAGACAGCTTCCAGATGATATGGTTGTAAAGGCTAACCTGTTGTGCAAATCCGCAGATGGTGCTCAACAAGGGTACTACATAATATATATATATATATATATGCATATGGGTAAGTTTGGTTGAGCAGATGAGCTTGGTAGCAGCGAACTGAAACCAATGTGTGTGTGTGTGTGGGTGTGCGTGCCGCCATCCACCCCCCAAGTCCGGGCGGCAGGAAGCGCCAGTTAAACTCGCCATCGCCAACGCAGGAGTCGTGCTGATCTGTCTCTTGCTCCTGGCAATACCCACCCTTTTCAGGGCATGTCAACCGCTGACTGAAACAGGAGGGACTTACCATAGAAAGGCTTGTGTTTTTCGTGTCAGTCAAAACTACTTGTTTCCCCGGGGGGGGGAAAAAAAAAAACATGGGTCATTTCGTGAGTTTTTAGGTTTTCGACTGCGCGAGAAATCCGGGCTGCAATTTGTCAGCGGCCGGCCGGCCACGGCTGGCTGATCGGCCAGTCGGGCACGGCTGGCTGACCTGCCAGCCGGCCACGGCTGGCTGATAGGCCGGCCGGCCACGGCTGGCTGATCGGACGGTCGGCCACGGCTGACCTGCCGCGGCGGCAATGACACAGATTTGATGATACGGTCCAACCAGCCGCGGCCGGCTGGCCGATCAGAAAGCTTCGCCGGCCGGCCGGTCAGCATGGCCGGCTGGTCCGTCAACCAGACGCGGCCAGCCAGCCAGCCAGCCATGGCTGGCCGCCCGGTCCAATCTCAGATGTATGATCTAGGTATCTGCAAAATCTACGTGTGACTATCATACTAGATGTTCCTTGATTATCATAGTTTATCCTGTCTCATATGATGTTCCATGTCTTAACCTATCTGATCCTATCACATCCTATGAATCGGTCTATCTTTATCTATCATCAATTTGTCTTTCTCTCTCTCTCTATCTATCGATCTATCTGTCTCTCTAAGTGCCTATCCAGCTACCTTCCTACCTAGCTGTCTGTCCAAGTATTATCTAGCTTCCCTGTTATCCCATCGATCCTGTTTATCCTTTCCATCCTATCGATCGGTATCATCGTATGCATCGTGTCTACATTTTATATCTGATGCCTCATCTCGTATCTACCTTATCTATCATCTTCTTAACCTGTCCTAGCCTATCGTATGCTTGAATCGGTCTATCTATATTATTATATCTATCTATGTGTCTATCCATCCATCATTATCGATCTATCTATCTCTCCAAGTGCCGATCAATCTACCTACCTACCTAGCAATCCGTCCATCTATCTATATGTTCATGTGTTATATCATCCTGTCTATCCTGTTTATCCTGTCCATCCTATTTATCTAATCGATCACATATCGTCTTTTTTCTCGTCCTATCGATCTTACCTATCTCATCTAACATATCTGTCTTATCTATCACAATATCGATTGTATCCCTTCTCTACCTTTTCCAATCTTATCAAGTCTTCTCATATGCTAAATTGTCTTAGCCCGTCTCTCCCTGTATGATAATACATGTGCTTAGCTTTTGCTGCCCAACCCAATCTTGCGCTATCCTACCCCAGCGTGTCACATCTTGCCTGATCCGATCTTAAGATGTCTTTCCTTTCTTATCGTATAAACCCGTATATACCCAGCTGTCCATCAATCAATCAACCTATTTATCTATCTATCAATCTATCTATCTCTTTATCCTGCACTCTATCTATCTATCCATCCATCTATCCATCTATCCATTCTACCATCCTGTGTGTCCTATCTATCTATCGATACATCTGTCCATCCATCTGTGCGTATCTATCGTATCTATCCTATATCTTATAAACATTCCCCCTATGTCTACGTACCTATCATGTCTGTCTGCCTAGTCTACCTGTTCCTATCTTATGAAGTCTTATACCGTCTGAATCGTCATGAATCTACATTGCTATCCAACTGTCCATCTGTCTATATCTCTATCTCTCTCTCTCTCTCTCTCTCTCTCTTCATCGCATCCTATGTGTCTCATCGTGTCTATCTGTCAATATACTTCGTCTATCTACCCAATCCTATCTTATCCTGTCTTACCCTATCCTGTCCTGTGTCCTGCCTTTTCCTATCTTATCCTATCCTATTCTATCTACTGTATCTATCGATCTATCTCTCTCATTCTTTCGGTTTATCCATGTATGTATCGATCTATTCATTCATCTATCCATCTATCGTGCCATCAATTATCTGGCCCATGGGTGACTCTACCCGGTGGACTGGATCATTGGCTGGGACTCAACAGGAGGCCGACCTGACGGCTGGCCGCACTAAATGTGTCTATATTCCTATCTGTCCATCTATGATAGGAAATGTAGTTTTTTGCATATTAGGATAGGTACCATACTAGATAGAAAAGTAAATGGATAGACAGACAGCCAGACAAATAGATAGATAGATTGATAGGTAGGTAAGTAGATAGATGGATGGATGGATAGATATATGTTTTCTCCTATGTTGAATTATCTCATCCTATCTTATCCTGCATTATCCTGTCTAGTGCAGTCTCATACTATTTTTTCATTTCTCAACCTATCTTATCCTATCATACCCTATGAATCGGTTTATCTGTACCTATCCATCCATCAATTTGTCTATCTCTCTCTCCCTCTCTCTATCTAGCGATCTAGCTATCTAGCTGGCTGATCGGCTGGCCGGCCGCTGCTGGCTAATCGACCGGCCGGCCGCGGCTGGCTGATCAGGCGGCCGGCCGCGGCTGGCTGATCGGCCGCGGCTGGCTGGCTGATTTCAAATACCGGGCCGAGATACTCGCGCAATGAGGTTTTCGTAGGAGATGCAGAGCCCGTCCCCAGTGTCCCTTCCAAACAGACCATAAGGAACTTGGGAAATGTTGACCGAAGCTCATGTGCTGAGTGCCAAATAAAACGGGGACGCACAAAAACGCTAAATTGAAGTGGATGGTTATTGAAAGTTGTTTTGCGAGAATTTGTCTTGATGCGCTGAAGGTATAAGTTCAAGAGCTATCAAGAGCCAAATGTGGTTGCCAGTGACGTTGTGTGGTTTGGTTGGTTTTGTCGCGTGTTGTGTTGCTATCGGGCTTGGATCGGGTAGGGAGGCATTGCCAGCATTGCCAAGCAGTCGGCCAGTCGAAAGCGTCCAAAATTCGAACCCCTTCCTCAGCATTGCCGTCAATAGGTTTTCAGTGCCTACAACCTCTTCAGCACTCGCGTTGGTCTTCTCAAAGCCGACACTTGAGGGGTCCAAAACTCCAACTCGAACCCAATTTCCGAGGCAACTATTTGGGACAAATCGTGGTGGTTACATTAAGGACTGGTGCTTTGATCGTGGGTTTGGCGCCGAAATGGGATGTGGTGAGGGCTTCTGTTCCAGATCTACTTGGCGGCGTCGGCAGGCACTCGCCAGCGACAATGATGACCTAAAAGCTGGTATTTGGAGTAGGGGCAGCTCTTCCTGTCACTTTAGTGGAGATCCATAGTACAGAAATGGCATCCCTTAACGTTAAAACCACTCCCCTTCCCAATCCGTTGAAGCATCACACTGATTAAAGGCAACGCTTGTTTTTGTCTGACCAAGACAACACCTCTCACCACAAAAGTTCAACATGTTACTTGCCATTAGTTTAGCATTCCCGAAGTCTTGAGCTTCTTTGTTCTGATGTTTTGTTTTTGTTGGAGGGGGAAGGGAACAAAAATTGAGGGTACCCTTTTTTCAGGTTGGTTCAAAGGGATACCAGAAACGCCTTGGTACCCTCAGTTGTTCAGTGACCCTGGAAAAAAAGGGAACCCTTGTTTGGGAAGACCATTTTTTGTAGCGGGCAGCCATCAAAGAAAAAGGGAAAAAGGGTGCCACTGAACAACTGAGTACCTATTGCCTTCTTCCCAGCGTTCCTTGGGCTGGGGACCGTTGTAGGTGCGGCAGTCGATAGAGCAGCGGCTTCGAATCGAGATGTTCTCCCGCTGATCCCCGTAGTCATCCGTGCCTCGGCAACCAAAATTTGGGTCGTGGAGGTGTCCACTTCCGAAAATGCCTGGGCCAAATCACCGTCCAAGCTGTTCCTGGAGTCTCCATGACCATTAAAAACTGGTTGGTCATTACCCAAAATAATGGGATCATGGACCCATTTTTAAAGGGTCGTGGAGAGTCTAGCTTTACATCTACCACTTTTCATGGTGTTAACACCCAGCAATACCAACAAGATAAACACACACGCACACAAACAGAAACAAACCAACCAAGCAGCAAACAAACCAAACACACAACCCCGCTGGGCAAGCTTTTTACATTTACCACTTGATGGTGTTACCGATTCTCAAGTCCAACTCAGGAAATGAGAGTGGGGCTGTTAGACTCGGAGAAGCTCTCTGGACAGATACTGTGGATGGAAAAGCGAAAATCCATTCCGCACCACTTGGAAACCATGGTTGAAACCATTGTGCTGGTATTTACGTAGAAATCATTCTTCCAGGGTTTCTTAGGTGGTGCAGGATTTCGTCCATCCACAGTGTTATATACTTTCATACATTGCGCCAGGCGGGGAATGCTGAGAACAAGCGCAATCGTTGAGTCAAAGAACGGGATCGGCAGTTGTCTTGGAAAAGGGGAGCACCCGGAATGAATGGTTTCCGTTTGATACCAGGGAAGCAAAGAGGGGGAACCCTGAAACCAACTGGGGCGTAACACGCACCAATTCTCCGTCCCCTTGGAATGTCCCTGCAAGGGCAATCACAATGCTACAAACAAAGGTGTGGCTTGTTTTACAGGAAAATGTTGAGCTTTCTCTTTGATTAAAGCCATGCACAAGGGGTACCCGGAAAAATAAATAAGGAACACAAAAACAACAAAAGGCTCCATGACCCCTGCTCTCGAACATTCTGGGTCATTCGGTGCCTCTGGCGACGCTCTGTCGCAGAGATATCTTTAGCTGAGGCGAGCACACATCCTCATCTGGAGATCGTGGACAGTCCAGCAGATCAAGCGAACCTCAACCTGCAAAGTTTTTCGGCAACCTCTCACCCAGGTCTTTGCGAACCGTCCCTTTCGGAGACTCAAGGTAACCTTCGGCTTCATTCGGACCGGCGTTGCCCCCGTGTCGGATTCCTCTGGATACTGGCTGCCATTTGCAGATATGTCCCCTTGAATCAAACAAACATATTTCCTGTCGTGATGGATTCCCTTCAACACCAACAGGAACATAACACATATTCCTAGATTGTAGATGGCAGCTGGACAAATCCAAAGAGAACCTACCAACAAACACGGCACCTCCCAAGAAGAGGAAACTCCAGGTACTCTCTCACAAGTGCCATGCTAGAGGGTAACATACTCACCAGGGATGAGGGAATTGCCCACTCCTGTTCCGCTGGATCGGGCCAATGATTAATTCTTCGCTCGGGAGGTTCAAAGGTATCATAGAAGTGGACAACCCTGGTACTCACCCAACACATGGACACTAGCGTTGGGTGATTCAGCCCCTTCTGTGAACATGTTGAAACTAGTTGAAACCACTATGTTTTGAACCCCCCCCAGTGGCTTTCAATGGTTTGTTGCCAGTGCAACCCTTTTGCCTATGTGGTGGGTCATTTGACAGCCATCGTGGGGGGGGGGGGATTCTGGTATTCGACAACTCTCGGTGATGTCATTTCCTTTACCCTGTATAGCAGGTAACCAAGGGAACCACCCCCTAAAAAAAACCACCAGCATCATGGCGAAGGGCTACATTGTAGTGCATCCATCGAACCGCTCCAACCTTGCTTCAATCACAGGTGATGCCGCAAAACCGAACCTGCCCTGGATGGGCCAACTCCTGCGGTGGGGATGGATGGGGACCACCAATCCCAAAAGCTACCAACTGACCCCCGCGCGGATTTGCTGCGCATCCGGCGATTGGATCGATCCCACGGAGCCTCCATGGAGGGCGGTTGCAGCAACTTGCTCACGGGCACCTCCGCCGCAGTGGTGGTGTCCAAGAGCTCGATCCACAGCTCCAGCGAACCTGGCAAAAGCGAGGGGGACCTTTGTTTTCCAAGAAGTTAAAGTCTGAAGATCCGACCCAATAGCAATCAAGGAAAGGAAGAAGGCGGGTGTGTGGTCTGTTGATGAATATTTTCATATGGGTGTGTCTTTGGTTAGGAGATTCCCCCCCCACACATGGTGGTTGTTCTTTTGCTTTGCCTTTAAACACGACACAGAGAGGGGTACCTCAACACACAAACACTCACACTCACACTCACACTCACACTCACACACACAGACACACAGACACACAGACACACAGACACACAGACACACAGACACACAGACACACAGACACACAGACACACAGACACACAGACACACAGACACACAGACACACAGACACACAGACACACAGACACACAGACACACAGACACACAGACACACAGACACACAGACACACAGACACACAGACACACAGACACACAGACACACAGACACACAGACACACAGACACACAGACACACAGACACACAGACACACAGACACACAGACACACAGACACACAGACACACAGACACACAGACACACAGACACACAGACACACAGACACACAGACACACAGACACACAGACACACAGACACACAGACACACAGACACACAGACACACAGACACACAGACACACAGACACACAGACACACAGACACACAGACACACAGACACACAGACACACAGACACACAGACACACAGACACACACACACACAACACACACACACACACACACACACACACACACACACACACACACGCGCACGCACGCGCGCGCGCGCGCACACGCACACGCACACGCACACGCACACGCACACGCACACGCACACGCACACGCACACGCACACCCGTATCATACATGCCTGTAAACTCTATAGAGGGAGCGGCCCAAACTGGACATGACAGGCGCTGGAGGATTCATTTGGTTTGAACAACGGGGCCTACGTGGGTGATGGCTTCAAGGGGAATGAAAAGGAAACCAACCACCTGGAGGGGTCCTCAATTGCACCCATGTCAGTCATTCAAGGGCGTCCCGTAAAAGGGAGCAATCCCCACCAAAGCGGACCCCTCAACGGAAGTTTACGGAAACTTGAACATAACAATGAAACAACAAACAACTTGGACTAGAGGATTCATTTGGGGTCAAAAAGACAGCAGGTTAACATGGGCTCACCAAAGAGTTGACTTGAACCCCCAGACTCCGAACTGAGGTACTAGGTTTTTACACAAACACGCATGACTCTTGTCGCTTCCTCCCCCAAACACCATTGCGCAACGTCGACCAAACCTCGCAGGGTGCCTTTGGAGATCTTGCTGACCTCTTGGGTGTTCGCATCCACCGTCTCACTGATCAACGGCCGATATTCGATGGGCACCTTGTGGCTCGAGAGCGAGAATGCTGGTATGTCTGTTTTGGGGAACCCCCCAAAATGGTGGTTTTCTTTTGGTTCCCCTTTAAGCCAAGCTGAAAAAGGGTGCGCTCCAAAAATAATATACCCATGCTCCCCCTTCTGCTCTATGGGGTTGCCTCACAGAAAGCGGCAAGACCCGACCTCTCGGAAAGGACGCCGGTCTCGAGGCGTTCCACCAGATGTGTGTGTGTTTTTATTTTGTTGTTTTTTTCTTTTTTCTTTTTTTTAACGCGCTTTTGTGGGAGTTATCAAAACGCTGGACCCCTTTTGGGTAAACACCTTCTAGCTTTCTTCCCCTCCATTTCCGGATCCGTCTCCTGCAAACAACCACTTCTAGTAGTGATAGATCACCAACAGGGGAAAAACAATAATGTCGAGTGAGTGGAAGTTCCACATGTTCGCAGCGCAAGGATGCGCAAGGGCTTGGGCTCAGGCCTTCTTGTTCTTCATCATGATCATGTAGTCCCGGGTATAGAACCTGCGGATTGGGCCAGGCTCAGATGTCCATCCAGGCTTCCGCACACATCAGCACCTCTTTCTTCATATGAACAACTTGCTGGTGGGGAATCAATGGTTTGGGAATGAACCGTTTGGGATCCCCAGGATACCACAAGTGATGGTAAGGAACATCTCCTAGAGAGAAATCTCCTACAGGAACAAAGGTTCCAAATACGGTGAGCAACTCCAGGTGGCAACAGCCCACTTGGCTCGACCTGGCCTGTCTTCCAAATCCAGCACGCTTTTGCCGATCAGCAAATCCTCGCCATTCTCTTGATAGTCGTAGAGGCCGATTTCGAAGTAGGACCT